TAACAATCTACTTGCACAGCGCCCCTCCCGGGCTGTTTTCAGTGGACTGACATTTTAATTTAAACCTTTAGAAGTAATATATTACTTGGGTTACTACAATGAGGTGGGTTCTTCTTCTTTTTATTTTTTTTGTCAGCTGACAGCTTTTAAAATATTATTTCACTAGGGAAATAAAAGCTTCATCTCAGATTATAGGTGGGTATTTTTGGATTTATGTGATTTATGGTCACCATGACAACTAATGCTGAATGTTAGCTACCAGCATGTCTGGGAGAGAGAAAACAGAAAGAAAGGAGAGAAAGAGAAGTAGAGGAGGAAGCTGGACATAAACTGGAACTAGAGACAGACTCCAGGGAGTGAGTGAGTGAGTGTGTGTGTGTGTGTGAGAGAGAGAGAGAGAGAGAGAGAGAGAGAGAGAGAGAGAGAGAAGAGACTTCAGTCATTCCTTACATATGAATCTAAATATTGATATTTATCACATCCCATATCCCTCTTCTCTCTCTCCCTCACTCTCTCTCCCTTACCTCCAACACACAATACCATTCCCTCTCTTTCATTTCACTTTTCCACCAAGTAGCTGTATTCTAGGCTTAAATGAGCAACCCAATAAACCTGTGATGCTGGCATGCAAATATAAAATATGAAATATACCGCATTTCAGCACCCCCCTCACCTCTGTTCGGCACCCCAGTTCTTCTCCTCCCTGACCAGCCTGGGGGTTGCTCTCATCAGCCCACCCTGCCATTCATTCATCCCCAAACCTCAGAGCATTGAATGTATGACAGAAACTGGGGCACCCCGCTGCAGAGCCCAGAGAGTGAAAACTTCTCCATATGTCTGTAGACTCTGATGCAGGTGAGTGAGGCTCAAGCCTCCTCACAGACCAGCACTGAGGAAGCGAGAGAGAGAAATCGGCCACACAAAAGCATCTAATTTCTGGGGTTTTGGCTTCGGGCTCAGGGAGGACAGCCAAGAGGTCCTTCTCTGCTGCGGTTTGTGTGCAGAGGAAAGAGTAGAAATGACCATTGGTGGGCAGAGTTCAAGGTCTCCAACTGACCTCTGTGGCTCCCGCTGAATCCAGGCGGGTATTGTCCTGGAGCTGTGGGGCATGAGGAACAGGAGTCGCTCTCCTCTCCCTCTCCCCAAACAACTTGACAGCTTAGGGAGACGCAGCACCCAGCCACCACTGTCCAGGTGAGCCTTGAGGATAGATTCCCTTGCCCCCCAGCCCCTACCCAGGTTGCTGCCTCGACCCAGAGTTTGGCGGTGCCGCCCAGCCAGTGGCACTGAGGCCATGGTGAGATTTGTGCAACTAACACTAATGAGTGTGAAATTAAGTAAGACTCTAAGGCTGGTGATCGGTGGCAAGGACCAGCTCCAAGCACCCCTGACTCGGGTGGGTGTCGCCTCCTCCTCCTCCTCCTCCTCCTCCTCCTCCTCCTCCTCCTCCTCCTCCTCCTCCTCCTTCTCCTCCTCCTCCTCCTCCTTCTCCACCTCCTCCTCCTCCTCCTCCTCCTCCTCCTCCTCATCTTCCTCCTCCTCCTTCTCCTCCTCCCCCCCTCCGCCTTTCTCTGAAAGAAGCAGCAGGGGCCCCAGCCCACCCCCACCAAACATTGCGGAAACTCAGAGGGGCTGGCATGTCCTTGGCGCATGGTGGGACCTACACTAGCCTTGCCCTGGCTGCTCTCACTGGGCCATGCCGGTTTTTGTTTTCTCGATTTGAGGCTGAAGTCACGGTACCTTTAAGAACTGGTCAAAGTAGAGTGAGAGGGTTTACAGTAATACTGAACCCACAAAATACATTTCTTTTTCACTTTCAAGCCCTTCTGCATCTACACTGCCTTTTTCCCGCAGCGCAGACTTTTGCAGATGAAACGTCTAGAATACCCCTACAATACATTTCACAAAAAAAGGATTTCCTACTCCTTCGCTTGCTCGCTTTTCCCTATCGAGGCTTCTCCCTGGGTATTTTTACCCCTGGTAGAGTGAACTGTAGGTTCAGTGCTGGTCTGGGGAGGGTGTCGGCCAGTCTCTGAGGATTTGGCCAGTCTCTGAGTGGTTAGGGGATAGGCAGAGAATTGGACTGCAGCTGGAGGTGCAAAGGAAGGTCTCACTAGCTCCGCTGTTCAGTCTGGGGAGGAGGATATATTATATTGTGTGCATTTATGATACTTTGACTTCAGCCAGGATTCTCCGATTGTCTCCGTTCATCTGGCTCCAGTGGCTGACAGTCTAAGGTTCCTGATCTTTTTAAGCTTTTGCGCAGCCTAATGACCACGATCAACACCCCTTCCAGCGTCTCTTACACTTTGGCTCTATAGAGGAACTGCCATTAGCCCTTGGGGTTTCACCCACCCTCAATACCGGTTTGGGTCACTCAAATGTTTATCTGCACCATGAAAGTTCTGTAAGTTGAGCGGAGTCCCTGAGCCTAAACCCAAATTTCCATGGGTACCACACAAAACTGGATTTGGAATCTGTCTCTGCTCCCCCAGAGGAGTTCTGAAAACACCTCTGGCCTCTGCCCCAAATTGCAACTCCCAGGTCCTGAGTCACAAAGAAGAAAGGTTTGAGGTGGGGCAGCGATGCGAACCAGCTCCCATTCTCGACAGCACGAAGTGACGAGTTTTCGGGTCCTGTGCTGTGGGGCTCAGGGTTATGTTGAGGTTTAATAGAAGAAACTGAAATCTGATTAGTAACCCATCGGGCAGCGAAGAGCTAGGCTCATATTGATTTAGTTACAGGTCATCGGCTGGCGGTGCGGCGGGAGGAAATATTTACTTTACACATATACTTTATGATCTGGGGGGAATTAGAGGAAATTCAATAAGAAAATGGCTAGAAACATTTAAAACCCTTATTTAAAAGACTTAAGCAAATTAGAGTCTTATCAGATTAAAAAGCACTACAAATGTAAGAGCGCTGTCTTCAGCGAAATGCGGTGGGGTCTGAGGAGGAGATTCTCGACCAAATCTCAGGGATAAGGCGCGTCATTTAAGCACCAGATAATGAGCAGAATGTAAATTAATTTAACCTTCTTTACCAACAGACAGCGGGTGTAATATGTATAATTTAATGATGAAATCGCAGGACCTGACATAGTGAGCACACGTGTGGGCCTCTGAATAGGCCGCCATGGCACGCGGGATCTGTTCCGCATGGAGCAGGTGTGTGTGTGTGTGTGTGTGTGTGTGTGTGTGTGTGTGTGTTTGTATGTGTGTGTGTTTGAATAAAAGATTCAAACTAGAAATGCTGATTTAAAGCTTCCTAGAATGAAGTTTCCCCCAACCCCTCTGCCGCCACCGTTCGTTGCTAAATTTCCCCCTTGACGCCCTTGCCAGGGAGAGACAGAACGATTCCTCTGGTGACTGTTGTCAGGTGTGTGGTGAGGGGCGAGTTGCGGGCCAGCTGAGGCAGAGGAGCAGGGCAAAGATGAGAGACACCCAGATCACAAAAATATCTGTGGTCTCCTGTGTCCTCTCTGCCCCAGTCTGAGTAAGTTTCCCAATCTGGTGAACAAGGACGAGGAGGGAACTTTCTGAGGAGACCTCATGCGGCGTTGCAAATCATTGACTGTAACGTCAAACAAACACACATTCAGGGACGATAACGCTAACTCCACAATAAAGCAATCGCCAATGCAGAAACCCAGGGGAGATTAGCTGCTTGTTCTGGGGCTGACCTAAGACAGAGGACAAAAGGACCTTCACATCTTGTTTTGAAGGCTCTCGGCTTTGGATTCCTTTATCCATTTCTTTGGAAATAAAAGTTCTCTGAAAACTGTGCGGTAAAGATTTGGGATGTCCCCAAAGGTGCTTCTCTTTGTTTGCTGGAGATGAACCCGGCTTGGCTTTCTCTGCTGAGCTTGTTTGTGCCTCTCCACCCCCACACCAGGGGCCTTTCTGTTAGCCCCCAGCTCCCAAACACGCAAGACAGCCTTGAACTCCTTAGGAAAAGAAAATGACTTCAAAATTACCCTTGAAATTGGTTATTGGCAACAATCTTAATTGTATGGAAATTCATTAAGGCATATTTTATATATAATTAGCTCAAGGTTGTTGATTATACAGGCTTTATGGATTTGAATCTGATTGATAATAAAGTAAACAAGAGAGTCGAATTTAAAGCGTGGCTCTCTCGGGTTAGGCAGAGCTTAATACAGTGTACAAGGAATTTGAAAGATCTAGGATATGTGTCTTAATCAACGTTAAGTAGAATGGATAAGCTTTCAGCATTGTGAAAATGCTGGGTTAGGGTTTCTCGTCTATTGTGTGTTTTCTGTCTGGGGACTAATAAGCATTACAGAGAACGTGATCTGAGGCAACTTTTTATTCTTGCATAAATCCAGAGTGAACCTCCAAACAGTTGTTCGTTTAAAGTCAAGGTAATTTTCTTTTGACGGGTCCATTTGCTTCTCGATTTCTAATTTATTAGCCGGCCTTTTCAGAGCTCTTGTCTCTTTTGGCAATGAAAGTAAAGCTTCTTCAGATTAGCGCAGCATTCACTTGACAGGCTGTTTGGAAATTATAAAGATTGGAGGGGTGATTTGTGGGCGTTTTTACATTTACTCCCGCTCTGGCCTTTGCATGTTGCTTGCTGGTGGGGGGGGGGAGGGGGGGAAACCTTCTCGACTGGACGTAGAGACACACAAAAAAATCCAAGTGTTGGGGGAGGCGGGGGCGTGCCTGGCGGGTCCCTTCGCCGGGCAGTCTTGCAGCCGTCCACCTCCCCGCAGCCTCTGCCTCCGGCTCCCTTCGCCGCGTCTGCCTCCGGCTGCCCTCGCCGCCTCCCGGGGCCGGCCGGTGCCCGCGACCGCGCGGCGTGTGGCGGCGGGTGGGCACGGCGGCGGGGTCCCGGCCCGGCCCCACACAGCTGATAGGCGCGCGCGGGGCCGGCCCCCCGGCGCGGCTGCGGGCGCAGCGATTGGCGCGCGGCCACGTCAGTCGCGGGCCGGGGGCGGGGCCGGCGGCGGCGGCAGGAAGCCCGCCTCTGGCTTTAAGATGCTGGCGCAGCGGGGCCGCGCCGGGCCGCAGAGTAGCCGCGTCGCTGGCCGGGGCACGGGAGCTGGGGGGTGTGTGCGCGCGAGCCCGGCCGCTCCCGGGGGCAGCTGCCCGGCCCTGTCAACTCGTGACACTCGGCGGGGGCGGCCGGCTGGGGCCGTGCTCCTGGCAAGGGGGCGTCCCCATGCCTCCGCGCGCCCGCTGACCGTCGGGGCCGGCGCCGGCGCCGCCGCCGCGGGGGGCTCGGCTCGGGGGCGCGGGGGGCGCCTTCGCCCATGAGCTGCATGAAAGGGCCGCTGCACCCGGAGCACCGCGCCGCCGGGACCCAGCTGTCGGCCGCCTGTCACCACCCCCCGCCGCTGCCCATGGCCTCGGTCCTGGCGCCCGGGCCGCCCCGCGCCCTGGACGCCGCGTCCAAGCACCGGCTGGAGGTGCACACCATCTCCGACACCTCCAGCCCCGAGGCCGCAGGTAAGGCGCCTGCCCGGGCGGTCGCCCTCCGAGGGGTCGCCCTGCGGGGACCCCGCACGACTTCCGGAACCCGGCTGCTGGGGACCCCGCGCCCCCTCTCGCGGCCCCGGCCGGCCGTGTGCAGGGGCGCAGAGATGCCGGCCGCTGCCCGCCCTCCCAGGGGTCCCTTCTGCCCCCCGTTCTCCGCTGGGCTTCCAGCGGTCCGGGGCCGCTTGGCGGGCTGGGAAAAGTCTTCGGCAGAGGCCGAGAGGCTCCGGAGCGCTTCCCCGAGAGGGCGGCGGCTTCGCCTGCACCCCCGGGTCCCGCTTGCCCAGCCGCCCGCGAGCGCGCGGAAACCTGAGCTGCCCCCGCGGCGGGGCGCGGGGCTCGGAGCGCGGAGCTAGGGGGGGCCCGTGCCAGGCGCGCGTGTGCGTGTCCCGGGAGGCCTCCTGTGTCTGCGCGGAGGCGGCTAAATATACCCCCAACGCCCAGGCTATAAAAACGAACGCGCCGCGGCCGGGTGGGGAGATAAACATGTAAATAAAACGCGCAGCGGGCGTGGGGGAGGGAGGGGAGCGCGGGGCGCGCACCCCACCGCCTGCAGCAGCCGCCTGGCCGGCCGCGGCCTCGGGGGCTTGGCGGGGGTCGGGTGGGGAGCCCGCCGGCTGCAGGTGGGCGCTGCTGATCGAGACCCCGGCCGTGTTTCCTCTCCAGAGAAAGAAAAGAGCCAGCAGGGGAAGAATGAGGACGTGGGCGCCGAAGACCCGTCCAAGAAGAAGCGGCAGCGGCGGCAACGAACTCATTTCACCAGCCAGCAGCTGCAGGAGCTGGAGGCCACTTTCCAGCGGAACCGCTACCCGGACATGTCCACGCGCGAAGAAATCGCCGTGTGGACCAACCTGACGGAAGCCCGAGTCCGGGTAGGCACTGCGCCGGGAGGGCGGAGCGGCGAGGCCGCCGGCCATAGGGACGCGGGGGTGGGGTGCGCGGTGGGGTGGGGTGGGCGCCTTGGGAGACACAGGACTCCCGGTGGCCACCACCCACCCTGTCTCGGGAGGTTCCAGCTCCCCACTTGGAGGTTCAGGCCGCCAGCCCGCGCCCCCCAGTCAGGGCCGCATGGCGGGTGGCGGCCCCGGCATGGGGCCCTGTGCTCCCACTTGCAGTCGCCAGGCAAGCGCCAGTAACCTCCCTCCCAGGCCAGGAGCTCAGGACAGGCTCCAACCTGTGCGCCTTTAACAAGGAAATCCCGCCAGAGACACGCAAGGCTTGGACCTCCCTGAAAACTTCCGCACCAGGCCCGGCCCAGCCTTTTCTCTACCCGCCCGGGTCTCTCCGGGTTTGTGGGGTGCTTTGGTCGCTCCCATACCCTTCCATTCCAACCTTTAAGAGCCCCCCCACCCCCATCAAAGTTTTCATACACGACTTAGTTATGCTGTTCATCCTTTTAGAAAAAAAGAGAAAAAGATTCCCGGTTTTATTTATGTCATGAGGTGGTTCCTTCCTCCCCTATTCCCAACTCTTAGTTTTATTAATTTTAAAAAGGCTTACCTTTGCAGCAAATTCGTAATTGTATGGGTTGGCAATAAAAATAATAATAGTAGTAATAATAATAAATAAAGTTAAATCTTAAACATCCAGTAGGTGCCACATCCTGGGAAACACAAAACCTATGCCGAAGGGTTCATCCAAGGCGTTTGGTGTCTTTAAAAATAAAATAAATGCTCTGGATCAGAAAGGCAGAGCAGAGAAAGCAGGGTTTGAAAACTCGAAATAACCTACAGTGATGAAAAGAATCAAGATCAAACCCCCCCCCCCCCACACACACACACACACATACCACCACCACCACCACCATAAACACCTTCCCTTTCCCAGCCGAGAGGGAAGGAGGACCCTCGCTTGGGTGGCATTTGTGTAGGCTCGGAGGGAGGCGGGAGGCGCGGAGGTTTTAGTTTAACTGTGGCTGGAGCTGGTGCGCGCTGGGCCGCATGGTCTGGCGCAAGGTCCGTCTGTGTTCTTCTGCGTGTTCGGGGAGCGGGTCTCGCACGTATGCATCTCACCTGGGCAAAGTTTAGGTGGTGGGAGGTGGAGATGCGGAGGAGCCATAGAAAGTAGAAAGGAGCAACGGGGTCTGGGGGTGCTCAGGAGCCCTTCCCCGCTGCTCTGCTCCGGCCTTGCTGCCCAGTCCCCTGCCGTCAGCCCTAGTCCCCGCTGCTCCTGGTGGGTCCCGGTGGCCGCCAGGCGCTTTTTATAGCAGATGAGTGCCAAGAGGAAGGGGGAGAAAAAGGACATGGAGAATGAAAAGCAAGGGGGCGGGCAGCCGGCCTGGGCTGAGAACGCTGGTGAGGCTTGGAAGCCAGGGCAGGCCGCTTGCTCCAATACACAAAAAGCCAAAGCCGCCTCTGTCTGGGGTGAGTGGTAGGCCGAGATGTGGATTGAGCAGGCTGCGATGTGGATTGAGCTCGGGGTTGTGGCGGGGCCATGGCGGGGCCAAGGGGTCCCTGGGGCTCAGGCAGGGGACGGAAGGCGGGCAGCAGTGGCCAGCCAGGGTGGCCACTGGGCAGCCAGCGGTCAGCAGTGGGTGGGCTTGGTGTGACTGGAGCCCTCCGGTGCAGGCGACCTGCTCGCCTAGAGTTTAGGCGCGATGGGACGAGTTGAGTTGAGTGAGGGGCTTTGGCCTTGTGCTGTTTTTCCTGCTGCTTGCTTTCCTTTGGCTGTTTTTGTTAGGGGAGGAAGGGGAGGAAGGGGGTCCGTGGGGGTCCTCGGTGGGGGGCGTGCTGGGGGGGCTGCCTCTGCGGGCCAGAGAGGGAGGGAGGAGCCTAATGTGGCAGCGAGGGAGAGCACTGGCCTCCCAGCCCTCCCAGTAGCGTCTGCACCGCTGAGCCTGTGGCTTGGGAGTGGAGGCGAGTTTGTATGGCGGCCTGGGAAGAGCTGGGCGCCGAGAGCCCACCGCCCAGCGTCTATTTTGCATTTTAGTGGTTTAGGGACCCTAAGGAAGGCCTTGGCCTATCGGGGCTGAGCCCACTGCAGGGCGCTAGGTGTCAGACTGGGATATGTGGCCCTTCTCCCTGGCGGGCGCCTGCATGGGGGCACTGGCCATGGGGTCAGCGGGACAGACGTCTCTGTGCGTGTATTGTCGGTGTGGGGTGGGCTCCGCGGCTTTCCGGGATCAAGGATTTTTGCTAATCTCGTACGTGGCGTCTGTTTGCACCCCCCCCCCCCCGTCCCCCCATCCCCGTCCCCCTTGCCCGCCCCCCTCCCCAGGTCTGGTTCAAGAACCGCCGGGCCAAATGGAGAAAACGGGAGCGCAACCAGCAGGCAGAGCTGTGCAAGAACGGCTTCGGGCCACAGTTCAACGGGCTCATGCAGCCCTACGACGACATGTACCCGGGTTACTCGTACAACAACTGGGCGGCCAAGGGCCTCACGTCGGCGTCCCTGTCCACCAAGAGCTTCCCCTTCTTCAACTCCATGAACGTCAGCCCCCTGTCGTCCCAGGGCATGTTCTCGCCGCCCAGCTCCATCTCGTCCATGAGCATGTCGTCCAGCATGGTGCCCTCGGCGGTGACGGGTGTCCCCGGCTCCAGCCTCAACAGCCTGAACAACTTGAACAACCTGAGCAGCCCCACGCTGAACTCCGCTGTGCCCACACCCGCCTGTCCGTATGCGCCGCCGACGCCCCCCTACGTTTACAGGGACACGTGTAACTCGAGCCTGGCCAGCCTGAGACTGAAAGCCAAGCAACACTCCAGCTTTGGCTACGCCAGCGTGCAGAACCCGGCGTCCAACCTGAGCGCGTGCCAGTACGCCGTGGACCGGCCCGTGTGAGCCGCGGCTCCGCGCCCGCCGCCGCGCGCCCGGGGAACGGACGCAACGCACGCACAGCACGCAAGGCCGGGCCGCGCTGCCCTTGAGAGACTGGGAGTGAGGCGAGAAGATCCTGGGCCGGGGACAAGGAGAAGGGGCCCGGGAAAGGAAACCACTGAATTCATGAGAGCGCCCCTTGGATTTCAGAGGAACCTCCTCCGCGTCTGACATCTTTCAACTCAACTCTTTCCAACAGTCGCAAAGGACTCGCGCGGCCAAATGTTTGACTGGATATGACATTTTAACATTACTATAAGCTTGTTATTTTTTAAGTTTAGCATTGTTAACATTAAAATGACTGAAAGGATGTATATATATCGAGATGTCAAATTAATTTTATAAAAAGCAGTTGTTAGTAATATCACAACAGTGTTTTTAAAGGTTAGGCTTTAAAATAAAGCATGTTATACAGAAGCGATTAGGATTTTTCGCTTGTGAGCAAAGGAATGTATATACTAAATGCCACACTGTATGTTTCTAACATATTATTATAAAAAACGTGTGAATATCAGTTTTAGGATAGTTTCTCTGGTGGATGCAATGTTTCTGAAACTATGTACAACCTACCCTGTGTATAACATTTCGTACAATATTATTGTTTTACTTTTCAGCAAATATGAAAAAATGTGTTTTATTTCATGGGAGTAAAAATATACTGTATACAGACTGTTCTGGATTCTTTCTGCTCTTCTGTCGCCTGGCCCGGGTGCTAAGTCACGGCCTCTTAAGCAAACCAGTTCTCTCTGCCTCTCCTAGTTAAATACTCCAGGCAGCAAGGCTTATTAAAACTTCATGGAAATAAATTATAGTCTTCATCGAAAACTAAAAGAAAACAAAGAAACGGCACTTGTATGAGAGGCGGTGGAGGGAGGTGCTAAAATTGAGTCTTGGCCCCACATTTTATTTGGCTTTTAAACCCAGAGAGGTTCGTCAATGTTAGCAAATAATATAAGCAGAAAGAAAAGATAATTTAAAAAATAATTTGGCCGGCATAGAATGACTCTCGTGTCCTTTTGGGGGAGGGGGGAATGCAGTGCCTGGGACCTCTGGGAAATTGTTCCAGAAAAGTATGTGCATATATACATACATATATTCCGCTCAGGAGGAAAAGATCTCTAATAAGTTTACAAGGAAACACCTCCAGTTCAAAATATTTAGCCCTCTGCGTTTATCTTTCGGACTTAAGTAGAGAGATTCTTCATGTTGTATTGCGTTACTATTTCCAAATCCTGCCGAGACATTAAAAGCAACACAGCCCGTCGCTGGTAACTGCAGCCCTTGGGCGGCCGGGAGAGGTTAGAGTGCAGTTTCCCGGGCCCCGCGCCGCGGTGTGCAGCTGAGGGGAAGGTCACGATCCCCATGTTTTGTTTTAAATAATATTGACCCATTAATTCTAAACCTGCTTGTTCCTGAAATTATACAGGATTATAGCTTGCAAACTGCGGGACAATGAAGCAAATCAAGATGAATTACAGCCCCGTCCCGCCCTCCCATCCCCTGACATCCGAGCAGGGAGCGAGGTCGGTGCAGCGTCTGGGAGGACCTTGGAAGCGGCCACGCTGCGGGAGCTGGAGCGCCGCAGCCTTTAACTCCCCCCTCTTTTTTTTTTTCAATGAGAAATTTGATTTTGTAACAAATGGTAACCCAGGCCATTGCGTCCTAAAGCCTTTACCGCGACGGGCGCTGCCGGTGGAGCCCTTTTGGGGTTCTTGCCACAACCTGTCCATCCCCCCCGCCCCCGCCTCCCTCCCCGGGGGCCCCCAGAGGGCGAAGACCGAGCCCTGGGGGCGGGGGGAGCAGGAACCCGGCGCCCCAGGTTTTCTGCCGCCGAGGCTGCGTTTATCTGATGTTCAGTTGGCTCGGAAGCGCCCCCGACCCACCCCTGCCTTTGTTGCCTGGAAGAGCGGCGGGCCGGATCCCCCTGGGAGAGCGGCGCTCGGGCGCCGAGGGACGTTCCTGCCAAGGCTGGGCGTTGGGATCACGCGGCCGGCGTGCTGGGCCTGGGGAGGCGGATGAAAGCCCTGTGGGCTAGGGTCACCTTCGTCCCGGCTCGCTTGAGAGCACCGCAGAGGAAAGCGGGTCCCCACGGGCGGACTTTGGCTCCTGTAGCCTCGGGGCGCACGGCCCCAGGGTTCCCCTGGCCGGGGCGGGGCGCGGGCAGGGGGCAGGGCCGCGCCCCGCGCTGGGCCCCGCCGCCTCCCAGACCTGCAGGGCCGTCTGCGTCCCCGGCAGCTCCCACTCGGGCTCCCGGAGGCCGGCGCCTGCGCCAGGCGCTCGCGGCGAGGCGAGGGCGCGGGTCGGGGCTGGAGAAGGGGGTGTCGTGCCGTCCCCCCGCTCCGCCCGCGCTTTCCCCAGGGAGGACGACCCCCGCACCCAGCCTGCCCACCCCGCCCTGCACCTCCTTTCCCAGCGCCCCAGCCGGCGGCGTCGGGGCCCCTCGCCCCTCCCGGGCCCCCACGCCGTCCCCCTCCTGCCGCCGCGACCGCCACCGCTTCGGTTCCACTCAATCGATTTCTGCTGCGTGTCAGCCGGGGACGGTGAGTGCGCGGCTGTTCCTCAAACCCTTCTCCTCCTTCTCGGTCTCTTAATGATTTCTGAGCTAGTTGTGTATTAAAGTGCTTAAAGCAACCTTTACGGCGATCTATAGCGCCGTCACCCCACCTCCTTCGAGCGGGAGGCGCCCCCATACGCGGACCTGGGACGCGCGCGCGGTGGGGTGCGGGGAGGGCCGGGGCCCAGCTCGCCCTCTCGGGGCGCTCTCGTCACATCCCCACTCCGCTGCACCCCGCTTTAGGGCCTGCCCGGGGTGGCTGCAACTTCTCCAAGTTTCTGAGGCCCCAGACACAAGACTTCCCTCACGCAAAGCGTTTTTTCCCACCTTAGTTCCCATTTCCTCCCCGTTTGTAAATCCTGAAGTTTTAATTCCCATAACAGGGCTCGAATTTGATTTTCAGTAATAGGTTGGGCCTACGCAGCGGTCTGACCAGCAAATCCTTCTGCCAACCCCAATCCCTCGCACCACCAACCCCCTTCTTCCTGGGAGGTATTGAGACTCTAGGCCCCTTTGGGACTGCCCCCCCCCCCCCCCAACTAACGATTAATAGGTTAAAAAAAAGAGTGAGAGCATCTTAAAAGTCCCAATGTTCCTCGAAAGCCCTATAAAGTAACTCCCGGAAAGCCAACTGTTTCAAGGGAGTCTATAAAAGCCCAGGACTACCTCAGAAGGGGGCTACCCTACCGCCCACTCCCAAGCCCCCCCATCGATTGCGAATGTCACCAAACAAAGGTCTGCCGCGCAATCCACATCCTAATCCACAGCGTCCCCGGCGCGGCCCGCTCGGCGCCTCCTTCCAGAGTGCCTCCCGCCGGCGGATTTGAATTTTTGAGAGAGTGCGAGGGAAGAGGGTGTCTCCGGATCAGAGGCCTTTATGAATATAGAGTCCCTATTGATTGGCTTAAAAAGCCCCCCCGGCAAACTGCAGTTAATCTAAGCACACGGGCAAGCGAGAAGCACGGCTGAGGGCGCCAGAGGTCTCCGGCAGAAGGAAGATGTTTCTGGTAGCAGATTTTCAGGACGTATTTGGAAAACTCTTCCTCCTCCCCCAGCCTCCCTACCCCGACAGTTGCACGTTCACTGGATTTGAGAAAAACGGCCATTTGAAGATAAGATTTCAAGCAAAACAATGGGTTAAGTGGAAGCCGATTGGAAGCACACATCTCATTTACCTTTGCAGGGTTTCACAGGTAAAAACTGGGGAAATACTCATTTTAAAAGTGTATTTATGGCTCTTACCTCCCCCCCCAGCCCTCCCCACGAAGGGGGGGGCGCTTCTCTCTGTTGACTTTCAATCTGAGAGAGAGAAACCAGAATTTTTATTGTGTTTGATATGCAGTGACTTGCTTCACTTCTGTGCTGAGTATTTTATGCATTTTATGTAAATGTTGATTTTAGATTTTGTTTGAAGATTAAGAGAAAGTCTGCAAGAAATAAAAAATATCCCATTGAAGATGTATTTAATTCTGCTTAATGACCTTTAAAAATTCATTGCTACTCCTGTAGTAACTGTGTAGGTAACTGTTGCTGGCAGTTGTGGAGACCAGGAGATTCTTAAGGCTTCAAGCAAAGAACAGCAAGGGGGAAAATAAAGCCAAACAAATGCCTTTGGTGAACGTAAAGAAAGCAATGGCTGTAAGGTGAAGGTGTTTACTTTGGGGGGAGGGCAGTTAGTGTCTGAGTTGCGTTTTTTTCCTTCTCTCCGATGGGCTGGGAGCGGCCGAGACCTCACGACACCCCACACCCCCCACCCCCCCGTTGAGCTGCGTCGCCCTGACTGTGATGGATCTTTCCAAATCAGCCTCTCCAAGTGGCCCTGAGTCTTCCCGCCCTGCGCCCTGCCCCGTTTGAAGCGGCCTATGGGCTTCCTGTCCCCTCTTCTGGGGACTGGGGACGGAGGTGGCTTTAGTGAGAAAGCTGGCGGCCTGTGATGCTCCAGGACCTAGAACTTCGGGTGGCTTCCGGGGGCCCCCAGGTTCCCTGTCTCAGCTCCCTCTCTGTCACCTGCGTCCTGGCCTGCGCACCCCCACCTGCTTGGGGGTGCTGGCATGGGGTGCGGTGGCCTCGCCCGCATGCGTCCTGGTGCTCGCCCCGCCCGGGCCCGCGTGCTGGGCCGGACCCCGCCCGGAGGGCGCCTATCGGAGAACCTGGCTGTGTGCACCACCCAGGCCCCCGGAAGGCACGAGTCACCGCGGGAGACAACGACGGGGAAACTTCCGAGGGCACTGCCCACCCGGAGTTCAGCCGCAGGCCGAGGGTCGCGGCCGCCGCCCTTGCTCGGGGGACCCGGCAGCCCTGGCGGCGCCACCCTGGCCAGGAGGCGGGAGGAAACCCCGCCTGGGCCGCGCGGGTACCCGGGCCTCCTGCTGGGCAGCCCGGTCCTCGACGACCAGGCCTTATGGCCCTTGGGGTGCCGCCTTACACCAGGCCGGAACGCCGGCCCGTCGGGCAGCCACGCAAGGCCCAGC